GCGGTTGCTTAGCAGTGTCCCCGGCGCCGGACCCGCGCGGCTCGGCATGGACTCGCAGGCGGACCTGGGCCGTCACTTTTACCTCAACAAGGTGCTCGAGCAGTGGGCCGCCAAGCCTGCCACGCGCATGACGCTTCGGCAGCTCATCTTCTTCGGCCGCACCCTCGGGAGGGACAGGGAGAAGATCCTCAAGAGCGCCAACTATGTGCGGCAGGAGCTGCCCGTTCGCATCGCACACCGCATCCGCGACCTCCAAGCGCTACCCTTTGTCGTCATGACGAATCAGCATCTGGAAGATGTGTACCAGAAATACTGGTCGGCCTTCGAGACGTTCCGGCGCTTTCCGCATATCAAGTCGATGGACGACAACGAAAAGTTCTGCAACCTTCTGCGGCGGCTACTGGATGACCACCTGACCATCATCCCGTCGCTGACGATCGGGATCGTCGAATCGTCGCACCACCTGCAGCCGCAGCAGCTGGACAAGTTCATGGAGCGCATGTTGCGGTCGCGCATCTCGCGCCGCGTGCTGGCCGAACAGCACATTGCGCTCAGCGAGGCACTCGATGACCCGTTCCACTTTTTCAACGAGCCGGCCCGCAGGCCGGGCGAGGACGAGGATGTGGATCTGGCCGACGATGGCGTGGGCGATCATGTGGGCATCATCTATACGCGGCTGAGCGTGGCGAGCGTGGTGAACAAGGGGATCAAGCTGTTGACGCCGATGTTCGCCAGCGTGCAGGGGGTCGAGGCGGAGCGCATCCCGCGCGTCGTAGTCGACGGCGACCTCAAGGCGCGCTTTGCCTACATCCCGGAGCATCTCGAGTACATTGTCTTCGAGCTGCTCAAGAATGCGATTCGCGCCACGATCCGCAGCGGTGCGGGGAGCGAGCAGCCGGGCGTGGTGAGGGTGACCATCGTCGAGGGCCCACCGGAGGAGGATCTGATCATCCGCATCTCGGACTGCGGCGGCGGACTGCCGGATTTGATCCAGCAGCTGTCAGCACCGCCTGCGGGTATGGCCGTGCCGCACATGGCGGTGGAGACGGGCTTTGCCTCGCGTCCACCCCCGCTGCATGCAGGCGGCCCCGAGCCAGCGTCGAGTCCGGACCAACAGTACCCGATTCCGTTTCCGGAGACGGGGCATATTGGTGGTTACCCGCCGCGTGGGTCTCGCGCACGCTTGATGGACGACGACACGCTGCCCGTGACGCTGGACGACGCGCCACGTGCATCGCCGCGCGCGGATGCTGCGGCGTACTATGCCGAGCCCTGGGCCGAGTTCTCCTCCGCCTCCACCTCGCGCATGTGGTCTGCACGTGGCGGTGTTGGTTCGGCTGGAGGAGTGGGCGGTTCGACACCGCCAAACGAGTTCGGCACCGTCGGCACCTCAACTTCCGCAGCGGAAGGATACACGGATCCGCTCATCGATGCGCTGTGTTCGTTCAGCAATGTGCGCAAGCGACTTGCCATCGAATCGCACGCCGCCACCCTCGACCCGTCCGACGGCGACCGCGGTGCCAGTGCCGCCTACGGCCTGCCTGCATCCGCGCATCTCAATTCAGCAGGTCTGGGAACGAGGGACCGATTCGATGCGCTCAAGTCCATCGGCAAGTTCAAAGGCACCGTCACAGAGCAGGTTCCGCGCCCAAGACCCGTCCAGGCCATGGAGGGCACAGGCCCCGCTGCCCTACACACCGTCCAGGTCGAAACCGGCCTCGGACTGCCCATGGCCAAGGTGTACTGCGACTTTTTCGGCGGCAGCTTGAGTTTCCGCAGCCTCGACGGTCATTCTACCGACATCTATGTGCGGCTACCCAAACTCGGCACCAACAAGGAGACGATCGAAGAAATCGTCCTCTAACCCCCCGGACTGCAATGCCAATGTCGCTGAAGGTTATTGATTGGTGCGATTTAGTGCAACTCGGCACGGCGCTGGTGGACGCGCTCGAGCTTGTCTAGCACCTCCTGGCGTTCGCGCACCAGATGGAACAGCGTCAACTCCAGCCTGTTGCAGAAGGAGAGGTCAGCAAAACTGCCACTGAGATCCACACTGAGGTTCTGCGCACTTACTCTCTCTTTCGATCCGCCTGAGCAGCACGCAGTGCCTTCTGGACTGCCGGATCGGAGGGCATGTCTGGTGCGGGATGTTGATGCAGCTGTGCATCCGGCTTGGCGGGGGTTGGTGGCAGGGGCTGCGTGGGATCGATAGCCTTCGTCTCCTTGAGATCGTGCAGCCTCATGCCCACATAGTAGCTGGCGGGTACAATGACGAGTGCGGACAATGCAGCGACCCAGTTGCGCATCGGCACCCTCGGTCGTCCGCCCGCTCCCGAGCCCGTGCTATACGGTCGAACCTGCTTGACCTCCATCTGTCGTCGGCCGAGGATGCTCGCACGCGAGCCGAGCTGTCGCATGTGCTGTACGCCTCCGCGCCCGAGCTGCGAGACCGCCCCGACACGGGCGTCGAGATACTCGGCCATCGACGCCGTCACCGCCTGCTGCTTGAGCTGCGTCTTGCTGCGTGGCGCCACCTCCGCATCGAGCGCCAGCGGTTTCCGGCCACGCGAGATGCCCGCTTCCGAAACGCCAAACGCCAACCCTTGCATCATGACGTTCCATCCATCGCGCAGATTCGACGACAGCCACACGACCGGCCGGCTCGCCAGCAGACGCGAGATGATGGAGCCCAACCCCCGTGGCAACGGCCGCACCAGCGCGGAAACGAGCACAGCGCCGAGAGCTGGTTCGCTAGGTACTGCCGCGGGCACGTTGTCGCGCGTGTACGCAAACTTGGACTCGTCACCCGAGCTGAAAGCCACCATGCCCGGCGTTGGGGAGGAAGACACGGCAATAGATTGCCAGTTCACCGATGCTGACGTTGGTGCGCGCCTGGAAAGCATGCCCGGTTCGCCGGGTCGATAGCCTTTCGAGATGAGGTACGCTGTGGTGCGCGCCTCGAGCTTGCGCATGAGCGCGTTCAGCCTGCCCTCGTACGCCCAGATGCCCGTGGTGAGCACCGACACGCACTGTGCGCCCATCACCCTCTCCTGGTGCGAGCCAGCATCGTCCGATGCCGCTGCTTGCTGCGCCAACCTGGACCTCCTGCGGCCCAGCTCGTCGTTCATGCGATGCGCCAGAATCACATCCGTCATGGTGCGGTCTCCCACGACCAGCACGCTTCCTCTGCCTTCCGAATCCTGCGGCACGCCTCTGCTGATAAGCTTGCGTCGCTCCTTGAGGTAGCGTCTTGTGGTGCTGCTGGGTCCGGCCTGGATCGTGGCTGAGCCGGGCGGCATGTGTTGCGCCTGGGCGAGCGTCGTGTCGCGATCGTGCGAGAGCGCAACAAAGTACTCGAGCGCCTCTGCGGCACACGCCTTCGCGGGCTTCTTCTGCTTGTGGCACAGCACGGGCACGTTGAGCGCGCGGCTGAGCGATTCGGCGCCCAGGCCCGATGGGTCGTCCGAGGAGCCGCTCGAGTTGCTCACGACCAGCACGTTTTCGCGGCCAAAAACGCGCTGGCAGTCGTCCCAGGCTGCAGCAATCGCTGGTTGGATCGTGTCCGAGTGCGGGGCGGTGAGGCAGTTGTCCTTGTCGAACACGACGAAGCGCACGCCGTTGGCATGCAGTGCGGACCAGTCGAGGTGGCTGATGTCGGGCACCTGCACGTGTGGCACCACCAGCGAGGGGCGCACGAGCACCGCGAGCACGGCGACGACGCCAGACAGGTTGCCCATGGCTTGAGTGTCCAGGGTTGCCGAGTAGAGTGGTGGTGAATGGCAAGCAGGCTGCAAGACAAAGTGGAGCCCTCCTCTGCATCTTTCGAGCTCCAAGGCGCTGAAGTTCGGAACTCGGCAACCTGGCTCAAAGGCCAAACAAGACAAAACAAAAAAAGTCCTGATTTTTGCTTGGTTTTTTATTTTGTGGAGAATTTTGCAGATTTCGAGGAGAAGAAAGTGGAGCGACTCTCTTCCTCTCCTGTCCACCACCACCACATCCATCTCGCATTCACACAGTGGCCACCTTCCCAACCACCCAATCAACCTAGACGATGTCATCCGAGGCGACTGCTGTCCAAGCGGGGCCATCGCGCTCCGCAACAAGAGAGAAGAAGCCCAAGCGCGTCCGAAAGAGGTCGCGCAACAAGAAGCGAACCACCGAGGCCGAAGAGAGCAGCAGCAGCAGCAGCAGCGACGACAGCGATAGCGACGACGACGCACCCGCTCCAGTGATCGCACCGAAGCCTGACACGAAGAA